GCCGCCGCCGCTCAGCCATGGCCCGCCGCGGACTCGCCCTCCTGCTGCTGCTCCTGCTGGCCGCCCTGCACGGCCCCCACGGTGAGTGCCCGACGGAGCCGCCGACGGCCGCGGGGCGCTGGGGGACAGGTGCGCGCGCGGGGCTGCTGAGCCGGCCGGGGCTCCCGCGGGGAGGGAGGCGGCGGCCCCCGGACGGGCAGCGCGGAGCTCGGACCGGTTGGCCCGAAGCGAGAGGGGCGCGCGGGAGGATCCTCTCCGGAGGGCCGAGCCCCTGCCAGCCTTCGCGGGCTCGGGGGGAGAGACCCGGCGGACCCCGCGGGGCCCGGCCTGCCTTGGAGGGGTCGCCTTTCCGGCAGGGCCCCCTGCCCGTCCCGTCGCTTCCCCCAGCCCGCAAGCGTGGAGCCCGTCTGCGGCGAAGCCCGCCGCGCTTGCGGGGCCTGGGAAGCCCCTGGGCTGCTTCTCCTCCTTTCTCTCCAGGGAAGGTTAGAGGGGCGAAGGAGCCCCCCCCCCCCTTCCCCCCCTTGTTCTCTCCCCCCAGCTCTGTTGTTGACTCTTTCCCTCTCCCTCGACCTGCTTCCAGGTGAGGCTCTCCCAGGGTTCACTTTTCCAGCCCTTCTGTCTGTCCTGAGTCTGTCCCATCCATGTTCCTGTCTGAAAGGCTGCCCCCCCGTTTCCTCCCTCCGGAGGCTCCCCGGACCCCGAAGGGTTCCACCCCCACCTGCATTTCTTTGCATTTCTTGCTCTGAACGGCAGTCTGGGTTAAAATCAGGACTAAGTGATTTCGAAGCTGCCCGAACTCTTTCCCCAATCCCGCTGCTCCTGTATGATTTCCCGGGGATTTTGCCCTCAGGAAAGGCCGCTGATGGGGCACAGTCTGAGAGCCAACTTCGACCTAGCAAAGGTGGAGGGAAGCTTTCAGATGTTTAGGAGAAAATATTTTTAGCAGGACGAATCAAATGTGGAGGATCAGTCAGTTCTGGGTTTTAGAGCCACCCTTCATAGAAGGTAGGTAAGGCACCTCGACTCCTTTGTGGGCATCCACTTTTCAGTTGCAGACGAAGAAGCGGCCTCCGCAGCAGCTTCCTTTCAGAGAGGCTCACCTGGGCCAGAGGTCGCTTGGGTCTCCCCTTCTAAGCAAGTTGGGGTGAAAGGCGCAGGATTGAAAAACAGAGGCATAATATTCCCAGGGGCAGCATAAGCCACTTCAGCCTGCAGATAGTTTACATCATAAAACAACCTTTAAAAATGATTCCGCTTTCAATGTTATCTTATACACCACACACACACACACACACACACACATCGGTGAATTGATTTTAATGCCCTTTTTTGCTGAACGCAACTGCAGAACCACACTTGTTCCGCTAGAGAGGAATCTGATAACTTTTCATTCTGTTCCCTGAATTATTCTGCATCTCCGGCTTCTAGTTATGGAGAGAGAAAGCTACATACCAGCGTTGTGCATGCTTGAGATAAGATTCACAAGAAGGTGTTTCTGAATGCACAGAAGAGCATATACCGCGTAATCCTGCAAATAGGCAGACCTGCTTTAATAGGTTGCACGCAGCATTTTGCACACACTCTCTCTCTCTCTCTCTCTTTCTCCTCTGGCCGCTCTCTTTGTCTTTCCTCTTGTGAAGGTCTGATTAACTTTGTAATCTGCAAAATTAGGAATCCTGATTGCACAGGATTTCCAACCCAGCGGAGGCTATAATTAGGATTAAGTTGCATGTGTTTACATCCTTGTTTTTAGACTTTCCTTGACAGTGGACAAGCCATGCTTCTCTGGGCATCTTTTTTCCAAAGGAGCTTTTCTTTTCATTAGGAAATTAGGCATTAGGAAAAATAGCCGAATAATAATCTACCAATAATAATCTATGGGTAAGAAAAGAGGACTAATTACGGTTGCTTCTTGTTACAAATTAATTAATCCAAAAATGTTTCTCCGAAGAGCTCAGCTTGTCCTTGAACAGAGCTGGCATGGAAAAGACTTTGCATAACTTTTGGCACTCCAGAGCCAGCCGCCTTCTCTCAACCTTGGCAACATTTAAGGTCTGTGGACTTCTCCCCCCCCCCCCCCAATTCTGAGAGTTGAGGTCCGCATATCATGACCTTGCTACGGTTGAGAGAAGCACAACTCTGGGCTATCCCATCATTTTCCACCTGCAGTCCATATATTGAAAGGCTAAATTCTTCCATTTTTTGAAAATCGTTTGCATGTCACAAAGTTGTATTAGAGAACAAGCTGAGAGAATACATTTTCTTCAACCTGGACGGACAATGAATGCTTCTCTATGGTTTTAAAAATAATTCAATTTGGAGATCATTGCCCAGAATCCAGTCTATCCCCTTCCTTGATGTTTCTTGCTGCTGCTGCTGCTGCTGCTAATCTTAAGCCCCGGGGCGCAGGTGGTTGAGAGAGGTATTCATACCTGGAGGCATCAGAGGACATCTGGGCATCAGTTAAAATCATCCCTCCATGCCTGCTCCACAGTGAGTTCACCCAGGGATCACCCAGACCACCAGTCCCTTGCATTAGCCACTCACTACCTTTATAATACTGCATTTTTAATGTAAAATAGGTTGGATATCTTCATTGTCTTTTAAATTTTGAAGCTCCCTGTGCAATTAACACTTTGAAATAGAGTAATCATAACAAGGAGACCTAAAGGAAATGGACACAAGGACTAGAAGGGGTTCAACCCATTGCAGGCAAGCTGGGTTGGAGTCCAAAAAGCTAAAACTAAGAACAAGGTAAGGAATGTTTTGTTTTTGCCTGTAAGGAGGATTTGGAGCCAAGTCTGAAATAAAAGACAAGAGGGTGGTTGGTGTAGAAGGGCTTGGAAAACTGTGGAAAGGCAGAATTGCTTTAACGCTTCATTTGCATTGCCTGATTTTTTTTTCCCTTGGAAGAGAAACCATTCATGGCACCATTGAACGAGGGTAAACCGTAGCTCAAGACCCTTCAAGGCAAGAATCCACTGTTAGCAAATCCAACTCTACCGAACCAAAAAAGATGATTTGCAGTCCAAGGCAGCATATTTAGCGCTCCCTCCTCCCCTCCTGTTCCCCCCCCCCACACCTTATAACCCTGCAAGGTAGTTACAGGCCAAAAGTAAACAGTGGGCAGCCACGGGATGCAGTCCTGGAAAACTGGAGCTGCAGATCAGTCAAGTTGGCCGAGCTCTGGAGTCGGCCAAAGTAAGTTGCACCAGCAAGTTGCACCAAGCTCCCCTTCATAAACTTCAGCCTTTACCCAGAGTTTAGAGTTTGGTGGAGCCTGGGAAACAAGGAATTTGGCATGATGCCTTGTTCTCTGCAAAGGGTCAGACAGTTTGTTCCCCCCCACAGTGTCTTTGTGTCCAAGATGGAGAAATGCAGAGGTGTTGGGGTTGCATCTGGTCCGGATCCCTTCCCAGGGAGCATGGAATGTCAGGTGGGGCTGGTCCTCCATTTAAGCCTCTTTCTGTTGGATGGAACCAGAAGGATGCTTATCAAATTTGCAAATGATTGCAAGCTGGAGGAGATTGTTTAACACCTGGGAGGGGGAAGAATCCCAATTCCAAATGACCTTGGTAACCTCCAGCCTTGGGGCAAATCCAACAGACTGATGTGCAACATTTGTTTTTGATTGGGGAGACCTAATGATTCCTCTTTGAATTATACCCATGTTGGTCCCTGTCCTGCTTGTCCTGTTTCACCACAAAACAGACCCCTCCCCCCCTTGCATAGAAACTGTAGATCTCGGCTTTCTATTTTTGCAAATTAGACACATCCAGACTCTTATGGCCCAGACTGGGGGGGGCTTTTGCAAACCCCGCTGGTTCATGCGCTGTGCTTCCCTTTCCCTTTTAAAGAGCCGGACACGATGTTCCCAGTGCTATTTACAATGGAATGGCTGGCTCCCCCTGATTTGGGCCAGCGCTTCTGTTAATATAGTCCAACATTGCATTGGCCTTTTGAACTCCATCCTGCCACTTGTTCACGGGAGAGGTTTAGAAGAGAGTTATCAGGATGCGAAAAGTTTTTGGAAACCAAGGCTTCTTGTTTTGGTCTCTGGTTTGGTCTCCTCCTCCTCCTCCTCGGAAAAACAATTAGCTGAGAAAATGTCCTTCATGACAAAATGTATTGTGGATTTTGTAAGGTATCTCTACAGTAAACTTACTGCCCCCCTTTTAATAAATATTTCAGGGCACCCCTGCCCCGTTCCTTCATAGGCATCCAGAACAAGCCATAATGAAGTGACACGTTTTAAGACAACATGATCTGAACAATCCAATGGCTGTTATTTGTGCAATGACATTGTGTCACAGGCTTCTTCTCCATCCAGCGCGTGTGGCTTTTATTGTGGGTTGCAGCCAGCTCCTTCTCACATTGTAGCCACTTCTTTTGCATAGCAACAGGCAGCCTGCAGGGTAGATAATGGGGGACGCTTGCGCTGCTTTCTGAGTTGCCATATACAATCTGTTGCTTCTGTGTTGCGTTATTGCCAAGATTTTTCTGTTCACTTGGGCTCTTTTGTGCTGCTGATAGCTTTGGGCTATCATCAAAAGGATCCCTTCCTTCCTTCCTGCCTTCCTTTGACCTTAAAACGATGAGCGAGGTTTTCTGACTGATAAGGGGGGGGAGGGAGAACCGGTTATCTCCCGGTCCTGCCACAAGGCAGCTGGGAGGAAAACGCTTCCAGCGCTTGTGGGAGGGAAGGAGCAGCAGCTCCTAACCGTTCCAAAGTCTTGTAAGGGTGTCCACCCTTATCTTTGAGGGGCGTCTCTGAAGCAGGACTTGGGATCATCGGCCTCTTCTGCCGGTGCTTGGGGGGGGGGGGGGGAAGCGGGGGGGGGGGGGGAGAACTTCAAACATTCCCAGCTGCGCCCAAGACTAACTGGCAGGGAGACTGAAGCCCACCCGTACCTGCCGCCCCCTCAGGTTTGTGGTTGCAAACTTGGAGGAGGGCCGAGGAGAGCTTGGCCCTCCCTCCCTGCCCAGGACGGCTCCTGCATAGGTGGGGGGAAGTGGGGGGTTTGCATTCAGATGTCTTTCTTCTCTCGTCTGCCTTCTCATGTGGCCCCGGGGTCAAATTATTTGGCAGGAATAACACTGGGGAGGCCAAGTGCCTTTCAGCTCCCCTCTTTATCGCGCGGGTAATTGCCGCCAGGACAATTAGCTGGCTCCTTTTAAAAAACCCGCTAATGCCCGTTCCAGTTTCTCACCCTGCTTTTGTCTCCCGAAAGCCACAAACCAGGACGACGAGGACGAAGACGAAGCGCTGGGATTGTTTGTGCCCTGTCAGGCAGGTTGTCTGAGGCCTTTGTTCCTTTGTTCTGCCCTGCAGGGAAGCCCATCAGCCTGACTTACCGCTGCCCCTGCAGGTATTTTGAGACCCACGTGGCCAAGTCCCAGATCAAGCACCTGAAGATCCTGGCCTTCCCTGGATGCCCCCTTCAGGTCATGTAAGTGTCTTCTTCTTCTTCTTCTTCTTCTTCTTCTTCTTCTTCTTCTTCTTCTTCTTCTTCTTCTTCTTCTTCTTCGCACCTCAGATGCCGTCCTTCGGGAAACCAGCCCCCTCTCTCTCCCTCCCTATATTTTGAGATTCAAGGGTGGCACTTAATTAGCCTGCAACAAAAGATACGAACTAGCAGGATCTGAGTGGAAAAGGAGGTCAGTCTTCATTCGAGATCTGATTCACAAGTTCTCCTCCTCCCACAGCTATTGTGAAATTTGAGGTCATTCTGTTTATTTTCAGTGGTGTTTATGTTTAAAAATGTTACTATTGCTATGATTTTTATTGTGGGTTGCAGTGTTTTTAGGAAACCTGATTTTAATCTAGCTGGGAAAGAGAATGGTGTTCAGCCTAGAAAAATTATCTTTGTATTTGAAATGGCGGAAGCAGAGGCTGAGATCTGGAGTGAGTTCACCGGCCCACTTAAAAAAAAAAAAGGAAAATATCCGAATCCTCCTATTTTTTATGAAACTCAAAGGAGATTTTCCTGAATGTAAACAGAAAAAAAATATCAGCAAAGGGACATGAGAAGTTTTTCTGCCCTCTTGTGGCTTCTTAGCATAAATGGTTTATGTCATCTAGAAATTTAGGTTTAATTCATCAAGATGATTAAATTAACTGCATGGGAAAATTATGGTCTTGGCCAATAATTGCTCAATTGCTGTCACTGTTCCAGTGAAAATTTTGTATTTTATTTTGCATATGTTTTCTCCCTCATGAACAATGACAGTTTGTGGTTAACATCTGTATTATTTCCCCCTTTCTGCTCTTTCTTTTCTGCTTTTGTCTACTATAAAAACAGAGTAAATGTTGCTTTCCTTATCCAGCTAGTTTACATGTTAATCCTTGGTGATATCAGTTGAATGCTTCATTTATGCTTCAAGCTGTATTTTATATGAAATGGATTTTTTAAAGGAAAAAAAAATAGAACAAGGAATAGACTTGATTAAGGCATATTGCAATGCAGCCTTCAGAATCCGACTTCATGGAGTCGATTGTGACTGGCAGCCCCATTTCCCCTTACATTTGCTCTGCCTCCCATTTTTCCCTGGTGGGCAAATCTTTCTATTTTTAGAGGTCTCCAGAGGCTTGTTTTGTATTAGCTTTTATCTTGTGGGTTCTTGATTCAGTTGCATTTGCTGCTATTTTCTATTTTATGGTATTTTGCTGTTTATATTTTGATTTTGTTTTATTTTTCATTTATAATTCTCCTTTTGTAAACTATCCCGGGTCTTCTGGGAAATAAAAATGATGCAGCTATAAAAACAAAACCATAAATAGTTGCATCTGTTTGGTGAAGAGTTTTACAACTCAGCAGCAAGTTATAATTTATGGATGGTTTAGGCTGTGGTTTCTCAACTTTGGCGACTTCAAGGTGGGTGGACTTCAACTCCCAGAATTCCCCAGCCAGCCCACTACAGCTGGCTGGAGAATTCTGGGAGTTGAAGTCCACCCATGTTAAAGTCGCCAAGGTGAAGAAACTCTGGTTTAGGCCATGAGATTCAGCAGCCTTTCTCAACTTCGGCAAGGTTGAGATGCGTGGCCTCCCAGAATTCCCCAGCCGGCACCTTAAAGTTACCAAACGCTGAGTTACAAACCCAGAAAATGACTTTTTCTACCTCAGATTAGTCTCTTGATTCAATTTAGTCTCTAATTGTGATTTTGAAATCAGAGTCCCTCCCTCCCATTGCCTCTTAATTGGAAATGAGGCATTACTTAGGCTTTGTTTACTGGTTTGACAGAACTGGATCACCTTGTCAGGAGTAGCAATTTTTTTCTGAGCAGATTAATTCTTCCAAGATGCCAAGTCCTGGTTTTGTTCTTCTTTTACGAAGGAAATTGTAAATTTTGTTTGGCAGATTTAATGGCAGAATGGATCAAAATAGGCAAACATGTTTGAGGGAGTGTTCTGAAAGAATATCAGGTCTCCTGAGTTTCACCTAAGGAGCTTCAGGCGGTTTCCTGTTTTCAGGTTTTTTTTTAAAAAAAGGATGCTTGTGTGGAAAAGGTGGGGGCCTAAAAAACGGCACCATTTGTGGTGTCTAGAAGGGGCAGCAGAAGTCGCAGAGGTTGGAATAGGACTGACAGAGTGCAAGGGGTAGCAGGCAAAGGAGGACAGAGATTCTGGCCCTGAGGGGTTGCAAACCCCGATCCCCTGGGCATACTCGCCCCCTGGACTAAGGTGGTCCCAGGACAGAGCATCTGTTCCCGTGGGTCAAAAGAGGCAAAAGGGTTTAGTTCACCAGTGCAAAAAAAAAAAGGGGGGGGGCTGCTTTTAATCTATTGGGTTCCTAGGCATCTGCAGGGCCACCAGCTTCCAGTGCCAGTCGCCCGTCCAGTTTCTTTGACTGCCAAGGGCACCACGTTGAAGGTGTTTCTCTCCCTGAGATCTCCTGATGACCTTCTCTCCTGGCTGCTTGATCCATCCGGCGACCCAGATGCGCCCCCCCCCCCCCCCCCCCCCCCCCCCCCCCCCGCGGCAATCTTCCGGAGGGCATTCAAGGCTGAGCTCTGGCAGATCAATTTTGATTATTGAGAAGGGTTCTTAGTGCTACTTAGCCACACATTTTGCCATTGTTTGGATTTACGACTTGTGGTTGGCCTGGCCATCGCAGCATTCCCACCGTCAGACGTATGTTCATGATTTGGGCACGGGGCATTTGGATGCTGGTCTCCTTCCACCCTTGCCAGGGCTGTGGGCCTTCCCCAGGGGCCTTTGTCTTCATGTGAGGTGGCCAGAGTAGGATCCCTTTGAGCCTGGTCATCCGTGTCTCAAGTGAGAACTTGAGTTGATTTGTTCAACAAACCCGTCGGTTTACTTTTGTGGCTACCAGGAATTTTCGCCACTCCCAGGGTTCAAAAGTGTTAGCTTTCTTTTTATCCTGCTTCTAGCCCGGGTCTTCAAAATCCAGAAGAACTCATCTCCTGCCATTATCCTTTCCCCTTAAAACATCCCTCTAATATAAACAAGATAAACATTTAAAACCACACAGGAAGAGGGGGCAAAGCCTTACATGCTTCCCTTATGCTAAACAGAGTCACAGTTTATTTATAGGTTTAGTTGTGTATTTGAAGAAAAATTAAAATTAGTCATAAGTACTTCAACTTGGGTGATTATATAGAGAAGCTTTATAATTAACTTCTTTCTATTCTATTATTAAATGTTGTTGAAATGAAGCAAAAGTACACTTTCTTGAAAAAGAGTAAAATATGTGAAAATGAAATGTTTCATATTTTCATTTTCAACTGATAGTTTTTAGAAATTGATTTATATTCTGCTTATGTTATTTATAAATATAATTCTGCCTCAGAATGTGGATTGCTGAGTAGAAAAGTTTAAGGAAGACAGATTAATTACGTGTCCTGTGAAAACCTTTTCCTGCAGCGTAATGAAACGCTCCTTGTAGAGTGTAGGACTAAAAGGAAAAGCCGTTTAGAGAACTTCCCGTATCAATTCATTGGTGAGACACACAGTCTGAGCTTCAACAGCCTATTTTCAGAATTTGGGGGTATTTCATGTAATTAGGAAACCAGCAGATTCTGGATGAAATTTTCATTAAAAAAAGCAGCCCTTTTCTGGGAAGGGGGTTCAGCAAATGTCAGGAAAGCCCTTTCTTCGTTCTACAAGTGAGGTTTACTCATCTGGACAGGCTGGCATGTTAAAGATGGTTTGGTACAAATGATGAAGCTCAGACAAGCAGCAGGAAGATTTCCATTGCTGAATCTCAGGCTCTCCTCCTCCCCTTGCAGGGTTGCTGCTGTCTTGGGGAGTACAAAACGGTGTTGAGTTTGTTCTCTCAGTTCACCTCCCAAAAATTTGTATGATAATGTGAGATCCCTTCTCTGGCGTTTTCTGCTCAGCAGCTAGAAGTGCCACTCACAAAACTGCACCCCTGTCCTCCTTCACTCTGCGCAAGGTGTTTTTTTTTGCCCCCCAGAGAGAGGTGGGAAGAGCTTCAGAATTTCCCAAATTGGCCAAATGAAAATAAAAACAGTGTAACTTGCCTCACGCCTCCTGAAGGTGACTCAGAAGCTTGGGGCGCATTTAACTTCAGGCCACCGTGGCCTTGGCTTGAAGGTGGGCCCAGCTGTGGCTCACAGAGGCTGCTTTGTGTCAATTTGTGGTCATCGCCACAAATGTTTTTAATTTCACCATAATAATAATAAACTTTCTTTCATTGTGTAATGTTATAAGGAGCAGATGTCTTTATTGTCCCTGTCACAAAAGTTGAACTAGGAAATTCGGGTTTGGTTTATGTACGTGACTTTATTTTCTATTCTCTCTCTTTCCCCCCCCCCCTCCTCTCCTTTTCGGCAGTGCGCGACTGAAGAGCAGCACGAAACAGATCTGCATCGACTCCAAGTTAAAGTGGATTCAGGAGTACCTGGAGAAATACTTTGAAAAGTAAGCCGCAACCCCGAAGGACCCACAACAAAAGCTCCCTGGGTGAAACGGGGCTGGGCAGCTGAGTTTTTGGAGGCTGCTTCCCATCTGCCCCGTTTTGGGGCCTAGAGAGATAAGACTCAGAGGAGCAGGCGGGGAGGAGCCTTGTCAGTTACCCCGCAGGAGTTCTCACCCGCAGCCCAGGCGGAGGAGGACTTGTGGATCCCAGGCGCCAGATTCCTTGGGCCCTTTGCACGTTCTTCCGAAGGCGCCCCAGAGCCACTTTGGGAAGCTCTTGGGTCTATGCAGATGGTCTTTTTGTTTTGAGCAGTTCAAGGAAGAAGTTGACCCTGAGCCTGTCAGACGCAGTGAGGGGAGCCTCTTGGCAGCAATCTTATACGGGAATGTTTTTACTGGAAATCCTAGGGCCTTTGTAGACGCCCGGCTTCAAAAGAGAGCGCCCCCCATAGCTGTCCTTGGAATTTTCCCCCACGCACCCCGGAGATCTATTTTTCCTCTCTGCTTAAGGCCACATTTCAAGCCAGCCCCAAGTCAGAGGGTCTCCTCTCTGTCCAATCTTACGTCTCTGCATTGCCGCCATTTCATTCCCTTCAGCTGCTTAAAGGGGGCCGGATGTCATACGAATAGCTAAAACTGTATTAGTGTAGCCTGTTTCCTTTTTGCTTGTCCTAACAGTGTAGTGCATATATCATATACTGTACATTCAAACAAAAGTGGCTAGTTCAATACTATAACTTCCATATACTGTATATGGAAATTTATTAAAAATCGCTTTCTAAATAATAAAAATTATGCTTTTTAGTTGGGCTGTTGTCCGTTGTTTCACCTCCTCAGCTTTCTTCTTGTGTTAACCAGGCTGTTGCAAGGATGCAGTTTTGGGAAATTCTAGACTTATTTTGAAGCCTTTGAAGGTTCCTGCTAAAATATCAGTTCATTGCGCACTAATCTCTTTTGCCTTTTTTCTTACTTCTTTTCCATGCAGCTGTTGTGGGTGCCAAGAATAAGTGTCTGTGGAGGTCCTCAGTCCTCCAGGCTGCCCTGGTTGTCCCCAAAGTGCTTTTTTTTTTGTTTCAAGAGGCAACTGGACTTCCTTGTTTTTCTTTGAAGACGTTTCGCTTCTCCTCCAAGGAGCTTCTTCAGTTCTTCAGAGTCCAGTTGACTCTTGATGAAGCACCTTTGGGACTACCAAGAATAAAGGTCCAATGACCCCACAACTGGATGGAAGTGCCAAAGTCAGTTCTCGGTCATGCTAAACCAAACTAGTGAAGTTGTATTACTCAGTGGCTGCAGAACGGAGAAAGGCTGTTTCGGGGGCGACCAGTGATCCTTTTCCTAGAGGGCTGGAAGTGGCCTGGGGAGCCTCCCAATCTCACCCCTTTGGACCACCCCAAATCCCGCTAACCCATAGCAGTACCACCGTTGCCCCCAATAGGCGGATGGCACACACCGAGTGCCCCAGACGGCGGCTGAGAGGGAGGGGTTGCCACACAGTCCCAGCTCCCGTTGTCCTGCTCCCCGTTGGCCTCGTAGCTGTGGCTACTGGTGGTGTTCAGGTGGAGCTGCCAATCAAGCTGCGTGAATCCTGAAAACGTTGGCACTGGCTCCTTTCCCAGAAGACTCTGTGAGAAGCGCCAGGAGCCCTTTGGGGAGCTGTAACCCCAGCAGGGCCACCGCAGGACTCTGGTGGGTGATAACCCCCCCCCCCCCCCCCCCGAGCCCTTTCGTGGTCCTGAAAGCCCCTTTGAAAACAGCCGCATGGACTGACAGTGGACGTTAAGGCCGAAGGAAAGGGGCAACCGGTCAAACCTTTGCCTTGGCCTCTAGACATTGTCGGACTGAATCAGAATCCCAGATAAGACTTTTATCACTGCACCTGCCGACTCCGATGCGGTTTTTTCCGTTCTCGGCTTCCAAATGATCCTTGTGACCCAGTTGGCAGCGTCTGGGGCCGCACTGACTTTTTAAACGGCCCCAACTGCCCAAAAGGAGCAGCGGGCCTGTTTTGCCTCCCTTGTTACCTACCCCTGAGTTCCAAATAAAGGTCAGAGCAGAGCTGTGCCTGGGAAAATGCAAAGAAGTCAGCTGCGTATTTTAAAATAACGTTAATAGCGACATACAAAGCCAGTTAAGGAAGTCCCAAAGCGAATCACAGAGAGGCTAGTGAGGTTGCAGAAAGATTCACAGCTTTTGGCTAGTTAATGTAAAGGGGACTTTGCTTCTCAGGGCAATTTGCTTTCTTCTTGGCCAGTTGTGGGTTAAAAATCCAAGTCAATGGCAGACTCTCTTGTTGCCCTGAACGGAGAGCAGGAGGAGGCGGCGGCAGAGTCGGGCTGGTTCTCTGTGTCGTTAGGCTGGAAGTCCTTCCAGGTTTCCTTGACAGTTGAAATAATCTGTCCTCCCCAAAGGCGGAAACCTCTTTGAGTGGAGCGCATCTTCTGGTTGGCTTCAGGGATGCATCTAGATGGTTTTCTAGGTAGGGAAGCAGTTTTCTTTGGACTTTTGGGGTGCTACTTTGAGTCCAGTCTACAGCCTGGAAACGTACAAGAGGTTGACCTCTGCTTCTCTTTGTTTCTTTGCATCAGCCAAGATCAGCCGAGGTCCTTCGCTTGACCCGATGGGGAGACAGGAGGGGGGAACCTCTTCGCTCTGATAGCGTGCATCACATTGCACTCCTGGCCAGATTGGCTGGGCGGGGATGGTCATGTCGAGATCTAGTAGTCTCCGTAAAGAAGCCCCCCAGTTCGGACAGGCAGCAGAAAACAACTTAAGATAAATAAAAGGCACCCAAAGGCCTTTTCCGTAGAAGATCCCAACGTAAATATAAAACCAGGTGGAAGTTTATTGAAACCCATAGTTTTAAAACAGAGCTGCTAACAAGCTAGGTTCATTCAACGGTCCAACCTGGTTTAAGTATTGAACGAACCGGTTTCTGAGATCACACCATGCCTTGAAAAATAAACTAACCTAACTAATCCATCTATTAACTGAATGGACTGGCTTTGTGCTGAGGCCTGCCCCTAATCAAGCTTAGCATGCTGTGTGTGTGTGTGTGTGTGTGTGTAATCTGCTAGCTCTTTAATAAGCTTGTTCAAGGATCTTGTGTGAACCCAGCCCCTGTGTCCTCCTTTGGAGTGGCCTAAATTGTTCCCGAGCATAATCCTCATTTGGTACTATGGACGCAATTGGAACCGGCCTTAGCCAGCAACGGCTTCCTATTTCGGGAGTGGGGATAGCAAGCTGGTTTCCTGCTCACTGGCCCTGGGTGTTGGCCTGTTGGTTTTGATAGCTCCAACCTCCTCCTCCTCCTCCTCCTCCTCCTCCTCCTCCTCCTCCCACGGAGACCTTGCTTGATGGACTCTCCCTCTCTTCTTTACCAACAGGAGAGGCAAGATGTAAGCCAGGAGCAGCGCTGGCTGCCTGCGGGATGCTTCTCCGTAGGAGCCGGAGACCTCCGCCCCGCCTCGTAGGAAATGGCTCCCTACACAGCACCCTCTTCCAGCCACCCCGCCCCACCCCACCCCCCGGATCCTCAGCCGAGGAGGGCCTCTGGGGCTCGGGGCTCAACTGGGAAGGCTCCGCGGTTGCCCGAGCCCCCTATTTGCACAGAAATGCCTTGTCTTTGCCAATATTGTCTGATGTAGCAGGAACGGCTTGGGTTTTTTTATTTTACTTTTTGTATCACTAACTTCAAGAGCAGCACGTTGTATGAAACAGAGCATTAATCTCTTCTGCTGTGCAGAATCTGGGCACTGACCCCCTGATAACGTTTGCATGGGGGAGAAGGAGGGAGGGGGAGAATTATTCAAAGGGCATGCGTGTGTGTGTGTGTGTGTGTGTGTGTGTGTGTGTGTGTGTGAGGGCCAACACTGTGTTAGGTCAATGGCTCTCCTTCAGGGGTGGGTTTCTACCGGTTCTGTCCACCTCTGTAGAACTGGTAGCTCTGAAGAGCAGAGAACCGGTTCTATGTCTGCTGATGTTTTTGCGCACCCGCCCACCCGGGCTCTTCCCTGACCTTTATTTCCTGCAGTTTCAACTTCAGCTGCCCTGCGAGGCACATCTGCAGTTTAAAAAGCAGGAAAAGAGGGCTGCTTCAAAGGGTGCTTCTCTGCATGCAGCGTGCTGGTGACAAGTTACAGGCGCCTGCACAGCATGCAGGGAAGCACATCGTAAATCACCGAACCTCGTAAATCACCGAACCGGTAGTTAACCCTGGCGGATCCCACCCCTGCTCTCCTTTGCATGTTCTGAGGCTTCGGGCCGCAGGGAAGGCGCCTGATACGCTCCGACAAGGCAGCCAAAACAGAATCTTGAGAGAGAGAGACATTCAGAATCAAGAGAAGGCATGCATGTCGAATATTTTTATTTCTTCTCAGGGAACCCCATCTGTGCCATAAGCGACCAAATTTTATGAATCACGAGCTTAAAAGGTTTTTATTGTAGCCATTACTAAGATACTATGAATTATTATAAACACTTTTACAAGTGAGCCCTGTGGAGTTTGTTTCTGGTCCAAATAGCAGAGCATTTTTTTTTAGTTGTGGTAAAAAAGTAGCTTTTGAAAATCAGCCTTTATTCCATTAAATGTAAATCAAGCTGTCTGCACGGCCGTTTCCCTTTCCTTAAAAACGAAATGGTGCCCCTCCTAATGCAACGGGTACCACAGCGAACAGAGGGGCCCTTCCAATCTTTTCTCCCACTTTTAATCGCCCAAATCACAATAACAAATTGCCGTCCAGGAATCAAGAGTGGAATTCTTTCTCTGGGAACAGAGTCAGGACTCCAGTAGCCTTTAAATGCAGCTAGAATGCAAAAATATTTACTTCCTTGCTCCAATTGAAATGCCAAAGATAAACTCCATCTAATTACTATTAGGCCGTCTGTCTTAATCAGCTTCTTCAAATATATTTTCCCAGTATTTCCCATCTACAAGTTCAGTGTACCAAAGATGAGACGTATCCGTTTTGCTAGCATGGTTTAGTTCTGTGGGTTCCCCTCCTCAAGGTAATGACTATGCAATGAGGGGGAAACCCAGGACTGCAATCAAGGCAGCTCCAGATTGCCCAGCAAATGACTTAAATTGGTGTTTCTCCACCTTGCAACTTCAGAAGATCCCTGAACTTCATCTCCCAGAATTCTCCAGCCGACATGACTGGCTGGGGAGTTTTGGGAGTTGAAGTCCAAAAAGTTTAAAGTTGAAGAGCTGGAGAAACAGTAGCTTAGATAATGGGACTTGGGGGGGTGGTATCATTGTGAATGTGGGGGGGGGGGTCAATTATATCTAACACTGCAGGCACGCGCGCATCACATACACACTCACAACCTTCTAGTCACCTCCATTCCACGCACAGTTACTTGCTTCTGGCCCTCCTGGATATAATAAGACTATTCTGCATATTATGTTATGTTCCTAAGTACCCTTGGCAAAGTGGTTCAACCCTGTTCAACTCAAAGTAACCCAACCTTGCTTTGGATCTTGTAAGGTTCCATTAAGAGCAGGAATTTGCTAGGCAGGTATTCCCTCTGGAGGCTGCGCTACTTATCGGGAGGGCTAATTAATACTCCCTGTTCTTAATATATGCTTTTACTAAAGAGAAAATGAATTTAACGTTAAAACCCCATCTAGGGACCCGCCAGAGTTAGGGACCAAATTCCAGGGGCTCCAAAGGGATCTTTGGCCCTCTTTTTAAAAAGGAGGCATGGAAAACGGCAAGAGACCAGGGGTCCTAGCAGACCAGAACCCTCCGATAAAGGGGGGGGGGGGAACAGGCTCCTTGCTGGGTGGCAGAAACCCCGCTGATGCCACCGGGAGCGTAGATGCTCGCCAGAGGTTGATGCCCCCCGACAGCCGTTCTGTGGTCCCTGGGCAAGAGACGGGCTCGCCTGCCTGCCCTGCTGTCGTCCAAGAGAGAGGAAAAGGGGGCAAGAGAGAGGGAGGGGAGGCAGGCCCACCAGAGGGAGCCTCCTCGTGGCCCATCTCGGCCCCGTCTTGAGGCTCACCAGCCAGGACTCCCTCGGAGAAAAGCAGCTCTCCCAGCTGGGAGGGAGATCAGACCAGGGTTGGACCGAGTGGATCCCACTGGGGCAAGCAGTGATTTGTGCTATTGTTCTATGCGGGGGGAGGTCTAGTTAGCAGGCCCACAGGTTTTCCCAGAATAATGTGAAAAAGACTTTTCATCGTGAAAAGAAAAATGTATAACTACTTCATGCTATTTGTTTTGTAAATATATATTTTTGCAAAGTATGTAAGCACTTGTTAATTTTCTTAATAAAGTTTGTATTCAGTTTTTGGCGTCTCGCCCTTTCAGTCATTTCTGTATATGCCTCCGTGTCAGATCTCTGCAGACGAACCTTCCTTCAAAGGGTAACATTGCTCTCCTCTTGCTGCAAGAGGCGTATTTTTCTAATGTTGTACATCTAGACCAGTTTCCCCCCCCCAACTTTAAGATATGAGGGCTTCATCTCCCACAGTTGGTAGAAGCCAACGATAGATGAGAAATTCTGGGAGCTGAAGTCCACGCACCTTAAATTTGCCAATTTGAAAAAAAAAACCTGATCACATCCACACAACTTGTTTAGTCCCCATCCTGGAGGTGTCAAAACTCCTAATGCCCTAAACCTTGCTGCTCGCAGAGCAGGTTCCGAGATGGTGTGCGTTTTGCAGCTATTTGTACAGTTTTAATGTGATATAATTGGTGGGTCACTTAACCAAAACTCTAGTTCTCTTCAACATCAACCATTGGGTGAAAATCCTCTTTCAGTTGGCATGCAAAGTGTTCTTCGTTGTTTTTCTTTTCTCCAACACACTACAGTACTTCCTATTACTGAACATTTTAAAATTTTATTATTGATTGACCACTAGGAGTCAGCAAAGATTGAAAGTTTATTTTTAAAACCCCTTGGCTGCCATCTAGTGGTTACCCGATTTGTGCAGCTGAGGTGGAACCTTGAATCAATATCAGCCCTTCCAGATAAACCCGATAGGAACCGCAACCAGATGATACATCAACTCAGCCTTGAAAGTCCGAAGTACAAACTTCCCACCGGCGCTTTTAACTGCCTGATCCATTAGGGTGGGCCCTTCCTCCATTTCTTTCTCTGGCCGTGAAGTCCTTGGGAGCTCTCCCTTCTCTAGTAATGTTCAAGCCCATTTCTTCCTTCTCTTGCCTGATGGTTTCCTGGCAGCCCCCCTTTCCCTCCTCCCTTAAGGTCACCCACCCACCGCATTGCAATAAACTCTGCCTGGCTGGAGAAGAGACACTGGCTGGGGAAATTGGTGCAGGGCCTGTGAAGTGCCCTAAAGACGAGATCTGGGGAGGGAGGAGCAGCAGCAGAGGGTACCAAAGGAACTCACCGCCACACAAGCCATAGAGGTAGAAGAGCCCAGTTCTCCCAGCGAAGCCAGGGAGACACCTAGATCTTGGGTTTATTTATTTATTTATTTGATTTGTCAATTGTTTACAAGATAATAAGTATAAGTGTATACATAGTTGTGAATACATGAGATGGGTACATATAAGAAAAATAAAAGAATAAGAGAAACAATAGGACAGGGACGGTAGGCACGTTGGTGCGCTTATGCACGCCCCCTACTGGTCTCCACAGCCAACCCAGCATTGTGGGAGAAGTGCCAAAGAAGGTGGCAGCCCTTGGCTGATCTTCAGGTCCTTCTAAAGCTGAGCTAACCGTTGTTACACCTGGATGGTTGCTGAGGGTGAAGTCTTCAGTAATTGGCCTCTTCCTGCATTTGCTTCTTTTTACCTCAGAACAGCAAAGCTATTCGGTTCCTGTTTCGATTCAAAGTTTTCTAACATGAACATTTTTATATACACAGTATTATATATTGATTGTTTTTATTTCAGTTTTTGCTGTTTTGCTTTTCCCCTTTCCCTTTTTAATTAAACTGGGGTTTTAATTATTTTTCTTCTTATTTTATTTTATTAAATCACTTATTTAATAAACCCTCTATTTAATTATTGATTAAGGCAACAGGCAAAAAAGGCCAAACCCACAAATCCCATCCAATCCCAGTGAAGGGGAGGACGAAAGCGCAGGCTTGGAGCCCTGAGTTGGGGAGAAGAAGGGACAGGAAATGCTCCATGTTGTCTCTCCGAGACCAGGCGGATTCCATCTCAGGATTCATAAGCAGCCAGCAGATGGTCTGGCCAAGCCAGGAATATCAGTGAGAGCTGATCATCCATCTTGGATGTATCACCACTGAGTAACCCTAGAGAGCCGAGGAGAACAAAGGTTGTGTCAGTTTTCAAAACGAAGGAAAAAAGAGAATCTTAACTGCAGACCAGTCAGTTGATAGCTGAAGAACCGCGGCTGTTTTCTTTGAGTCACAAGCCCTCCAGAGCCCTTGGGGGCAACCTCCAAACTGAACTAAAGAGGCAAAACCAATCGGTATCCTGATCTAGCAAGGGGGTGGACTGTGAGGCGATCGCTGGAGAAGAGCAAGGCGAGGAGCGCAAGGGAGCCGCCGCCGCTGCTGCTGCTGCTGCTGCCTTAGAGCGTATCAGAACCCTGGAGAGTTCAGGGCAGCCGCTGGAAGGGTTGGGGGTGGAAGAGAGCTGTTCCTCCAGCACCTGAACCTGCAAGGAGACCCTTCGCCCCCTGCCTCCTCCTGCCTCGGGGTTTCTCTCTTTCTGAAAGGACGGTTGGTGACTCAGAAATGCTAGAAGAAGCAACCCGGGCCTCTTCTCTCGAGAAGCAAACCCTCAGCCAGGGCCAGCATAAGCAGGAGTGGCCGGGCTGGGGGACCTAACAGGTCCGCTGGAGGTCGTGTACTTTTAAAAAAAAGGCCTTTTCTAGTTTTTATTCTTATCC